TATTGGAGCAGCATGATGCTATGCGTTGGGTGGGAGCATAGCGTGCTTACTTTGTAAGCCTGTGAGTACCAGCTTTTGCTGTAGTCTCACAGTAGGGCTGGTTGGTTGTGGTACGGCATGGTGCTATGCGTAATTTTCATGGGAGGAGCATAGTGCGCTTCTTAGGAAGTCCCTTGTGGTAGGGCCGTAGTACTATAAAGTGCAAGATTTTTAAAAATGTGGATTCCAATTTTTTTGCTACAGTATTGATATTTGTAGAGCGGACAAATTTGAACAATGCCATAAATAAATAATGATTTTTACGTTTAGCGTTATAAAAGATTCTTATTATAATGTTACCATATGTAATAATCTGGTGCGAATTGGCACTTTAAAAATTTTGTCAATTATCGAATCTTTATAAATTTATAGCATAGAATTTTATCGATAATAAAATAATAAAATAAATAAATTATAAATTATGTACAATCGTTCAGATGTTAAACAGAAATTGATAATTATTGTATTCATATACTAAATTAGAACTTCCATTTGAAAATTTCTTATATTCACACCCAACCCGCTAAAAATTAAAAAAACTTGCCCGTTTGGGAAGAACCCGGTTGGGAAAGAAAAACTGATTATTAAAAAAAATTTAATAACCGTTTTTTTTTTAATGCAATAGAAATTTAAAAATTTAGAATTTTTGAAGTTGCAATTAAAAAAAGTGATTATTTCTCAACAAACTAGTGTCCAATTTATAACGAAAACTGAAAAATTTGAAATTATGGGATGTTAAAACAAATGAGTCAAAAGTTTAGAAATTAGTTCAGACAAACACGTTATTGTGGTTATTGTGAGTTGTGACTATGATTATCTTGGTTATTTTTTCCAATTTAGGAATACATTGACTTGCGTCACGAAAAATCCCACTCTATACTATCGATTTGAGAACAAATTATCATTCATGAGCTAAATGCTGATGAATTGGTACAAATGATCTCTTTACGTAATAATTTTTTTTATTTTTCGACTTAAAATTACAAAATTCCTACATCACGTGACTAAGCGAAGATATATAAATGGAATTTTAATAAATTGGAACTGGATTTTTTTATCAGAACTTTTCTGGAATCCAAATCATATATATTAAAGTAGTTTCGATATAATGGAATACGAAACAAACAGCAAAAATCGATCATAATAAAAATACGCCAAATAATTTAGATACACCAAATTTTAGCGTATATTAGATATACAACGTATATTCGTTTTGATTTAGTTAATTTTGGTTATTTTTAAAATGCAAAGTTATAATTTTATTGTTACACATATTATATGGAATTTCGAGTTCCGATATCATATCAAAAATTTTCACCATATCGGATATTACAATTATAATAATCAAAATTTAAAAAATTCTATGTTCTAATGTTAAATTCAATAACAGAAAAAAAAAATCCATCAATGTTTGCAGAGTATTTTAATCGGGACAAATTTTGACGCTGCCTCAAAATAAAGTTCTGATCTGAACAAGTAATGGTTTTTATGTTAGCGTCTTAAAAAGATCTTTAAAAGATTTGTCAATTATCGCATGCATATTTATGAATTTTTAGAACAAAATTTTATTCAATAATAATAAAATTATATACGAAATCGATAATTTATTTATATTTATATATTTAAGTAATTAAATTAGAAAAACAAATATAAAATTTTTTAAAAACCATAATTTTTTTTATATCTTCCATTTAGAAATTTCTCATTTTCACACCCAACCCGCTAAAAATTGTAAAAGAAAAAATCGAATATTTCTCAACTAACTAATGTCCCATTTATTAAGAAATCTGGAAATTTTGAAATTATGGGATGTCAAAACATTATTATGGGTGTCAAAACAAAAGGAAGACTCCTAAGTTTAGTTCATAGCCACGTTATTGTGGTTATTGTCTATCACGACTATCATGGTTATTGTTACTAACTTATGGAATACAAAGACTTGTATCACAAGTAAAAATCAAGACAGTAACTAATAAAAAGTGTTGAAAGACCTGAAATAAATAACTAATTGCAAAAAGAGTAATAAATTAAAAGTGCAAATCAAAGTTGGTTTGAGAAGTTTTTAGCCTTAAGTGTATTTCGAAAAAATAATGACAATAATCAAACTTTAAAATTTATAGCTAAATCAAACGCTATGACAATAATTTAAAAATTATCATTCATGAATCAAATTTTGGTAAAATGTATTTATTTCTCTTTACATGATAATAGTTATTTTTATATTGATTTTCGTACTTTAACACAGTCATTCATCATATATCTCAGCGAAGATGTTTATATCCATCGGTTATTAATATACAAACTAGTATCGTACACTTTATGATTTTTTATAATTTGTTAAAGGATTCAAAGCACTACAGTTACCAATTTTAAACTATATAAAGCAGAGTATTTCTACGTATAATTAGCTTATAGGACTGCTGATAAACCTATAGCACTTTAAAAATTTTGAATCTTTATAAATATATAGCACAAAATTTTATTCAATAATAAAATGATTTTTTTTTTATAAATTATATACGTAATAATCGCATGTTTATAAATTTATAGCACAGAATTTTATCCAATACTAACAAAATAATTTTTTATTAAATAAATTATAAATTATGTACAATCGTTCAGATGTTAAAACAGAATCGATAATTATTATATTTAAATTAGAACAAAATAGCTCTTCCACTTAAAAATTTCTTATATTCACACCCAACCCGCTAAAAATTAAAAAAACTTGCCCGTTTGGGAAGAACCCGGTTGGGAAGAAAAACTGATTATTAAATTTAATAACCGTTTTTTTTTTATTTGATATTATTTATTTTTTAAAATAATGAAAGTTAATTTCATTATAAAAGTATTAAAAAATTTATTAGAAAAAAATTGATTATTTCTCAACAAACTAATATCCCATTTATAACGAAATCTGGAAATTTTGAAATTATGGGATGTGAATGATTACTTTGTCAAAAGGTTAGAATTTAGTTCATCGCTGATCAGACGAAATACGTTATTGTGGTTATTGTGTCTATCATGATTATCATGGTTATTGTTTCTAACCTAGGATTCTAGGAATACATTGACTTGCGTCACAAAAAATTCCACTTTGTGGCAATGCTGAGCATTTCCCTTTTATTTTATAAATTTTTTTGATTTTTTTTTCAACGAAAAAAAAATATTTTTTACGAAAAAGAAAAAGGTAAAGCAAAAATGGGAAGTTATTTCCTTTTCGATCAAAAAAAAATCTAAAAAACGTTAACTTCGCTATACTAACATATATAAATCTAACAGCTAATCCATAAAAATGCACAACTAATCCATAGAAACGCATAAATATTCACAAAAAAATCTATCGAATTATTTGTTATCAGGGTTAATAATAATAATAATGCTTAAATGATAATTGGAATTATCAATCATCTACTATTTATAGAATACTAGTTACTATGGGGTTTGAAAAAATAATAGTATTGACATTGTTAATAGTTCTTAATAAAATTCATATAAATGATTTTCCAATATGTTCACTTTTTTTGTGAATATTTTTACTTATGAAAGAATGGATCTCAAATGTAAGTTGTCTGTTATTGCGATTACTTAACTAATTTAAATCTTGATTTATGTTTTAAAGTATAAAACATTTGCTACAACGGTAAAAATAAAATCAAATAACAAATAAGAAACGGAAAACCGTCGTAAGTCCGGACTCCGGAGCGAAAAATTTTTTTACGTGACCCATGCGGACAACCGGAAACCATCACGTGACATTATTTGACTTACTCTTCAAGCAGTATATAGTCCTTCGCTTCGCTCCGAACATACTAATTTATGCTTGAGATTATTTGATAAATTTATTAGAAAGTTCTAAATATCACCGTTGGTGATTAAATTGATTACATAATTTCAATATCACTCTTAAAATATTCAACGTTTCTCTAATGTGATCTTAAAAATGAATACTATTGTGCCTCATAGAGAATTTCTTCGCTAGTGCTGTCGATATTCATTGTATTTATACTCGGAATATTGTTACTGCCCAACATTTGAATTTTCATTCAGCTATACAAAAAAACAAATTATTTTTATATGATCATTCTAATATGTAATATTTTGCATTTAAAAAATCATTCTTAGATGTAATATTAATATAAAATTTTAATAACTTGAAGTATAATAAACTCATTTACCGTTCGAATTCAACATAATCACCACTAATCATACAGCATCAAAAAGCGACACGACCAGCTATAGATTTCCGAATTTTCTAGATTGATTAATAATTAGACATTATTAAAAAAACGAGAATCTCAGAAATAATTATTAATGCGGTTAGGGTAATATCATTTATTACGTAATATCCATTTGTTTACCCCACCCTAAAATATTACGTAGAAATGTCATTGCCCTTAGTAGGTAGCACATTGATATCAGCTTATTTACAATGACATAATTATGATTATACATATATACCCTATTAAAAAATTTTGTCCGTTATTTCTGTGAAAACTCCGTAAAAATGAGTCTTTCACGGATCCATTCACGGAAAAATGTAAATATTTCAATAAATTCCACGATATAAGGTTATTAATTCCGGAAATATGAGCCTTATAGGGTTAGAGATAAAGTATACGCTACATCATAATCTTATATAGCTCTTTAATGAAATATTGAATAAAACATTTAACGTTAAGTCAATCCTCTAGTAATCTTAAGAATGAATACTATTGAAATAATTCATAAAATTATATATAAGATCTTATCTTTTTTATTATATTCAGCTTTCAGTTTTTCATTCGGCTATACATATTAAAAAAATTGATATAAAAAATTTAACATTACAATTTAAGTACTTTTATAATTTAATTTATTGAGTGATATTTTGATTAATATCCAGCTTGTTTACAATAATGGAGCCAAAAAATACTATTGAAAATGGCACATTGTAACAATTGTATTTTTCTTATAACCACAATTACGAATGAAACAATTGACTAATAATATTAATACCGACGTTATAAACAATTGTTAAATTTATATACATGATAAGCAAAAAAAATTTAGATAATTTAAGTGTGTGACAAATGGTGCGTGACTAAAGTTTCTGTTCTGAAAGGAAGTGTGCCATAGCACTGCGCCAGCGTAACGCAGAATTAACTCTAAAATTGTAAATATCGTACAACAATATGCTATATAAATAATTATATAAATACTAAAAAAATGCTGTAGATCAGTAGATCGGTTACATACCTTTCTAACTCTTTTCTAGACGATGTCTTTAAATTGTTGGCAAGAAGTCATTGATGATTATGAAAGATTACTTGAAACTGATGAAGGATATGACGTTATTATTTATGCCGGTGAAAATGAAAACGTTAAGGAACTACATGCTCTTTCTAATATTTTGTGTATCAGGTCACAATATTTTCGTACAGCACTTTCTAATGAATGGGCAAAGAAAAAGGATGGGAAGTTTATTTTAGAAAAACCAACCATTTCTCCAAATATTTTTAAAATTATTTTAAGGTAATAAATATATTGTACCTATAAATGTACTGTACCTATAAAATATTTAAATTAATATCTTTCATAAAATTCTTAGATTTATTTATTGTGGAAAAATTGATTTCACAAAATTAGAAGGATTTGAATTATTAAAATTATCTATGGCTATTTACGAACTTAATATTCAATCTTTAATTCCTCGTATTGAGGAATATTTAATTAAACATCAGTATAAATTTTTACAGCAAAATCCTACGAGAATTATTGAAACAATCTATCAAAATGAATCTTTTACAAATTTATTAGATTTTTGTCTTAACAAAATTTGTGAAGAACCTGAAATATTATTTGATTCTGAAAATTTCACTAGCTTAAAGGCACCTATAATGGAATTGCTTTTAAATCGGGATGATCTGTGTCTAGAAGAAATTGAAATATGGGATAACTTATTAAAATGGGCTTTTGCACAAAATCCTATTATTCCAAAAGATGTCACTAAATGGAACAAAGAGGAAGTCACAGTTATGGAAAGAACCCTTCATAGATATATCCATTTAGTTAGATTTTATCATATATCTTCAGAAGATTTTCATGATAAAGTATATCCTTTGAAGGAAATATTGCCAAAGGATTTAATTAATAATCTTTTAACATTTTATTTAGCACCAAATAAAAGAACAAATATTGATAAGCAGCTTCCTAGAAAGTCAAAATCAAAATGTGATAAGTATGATTCAGTTATTGTTAATTTTCAACATTTTGCATTATTTGCCAGTTGGATTGATAGAAAAAATGATAATTATTTAGAAGATGATATTCCATATAATTTTAATTTGCTCTATCGTTCTAGTAGGGATGGTAATACTGTTGCAAAATTTTATGAAAAAATTGAAAATAAAGGAGCTAATATCGTCGTTGCAAAATTTAAAAATACAAATCAAATAATTGGAGGATATAACCCATTGGATTGGAGTGGATACGGCATTTTTAAATTTACAGCTGATAGTTTTATATTTTCATTTAAAGATTACAAAAATACTGATACAGGAAAGATTGGAAGAGTGATTAAAAAGGAAGATGCTATATACTGTTTTGGTAATTATCATGGTCCAACTTTTGGTTCAAGTAAAAATGGTGGTAGTTGTGATATAGAGCTACGTTCAAGTAGCAACAGATGGAGATCATATCCAAATTCTTATCCTGATATTGGTATCCCAAGAAATTATGAGATTGAAAATTATGAAGTATTTCAAGTTGTTAAAAAGAATTAAAAGAGTAATTTCATATAGGATTCCTTTTATAGATTTATATAACATCTGTGGTTTGTGAAGTAATAATTAAGAAACTATTTTCTTAAATAAAAAATATGCATTTTTTTGGTGTTTAGAATATTATTCATATTTTATTTAATAAAAAACCACGTAAAAATATGATACAGTCAAATCTCCATAAATATATCCTCCTTAGGACTTGATACAAATGGCTTTTACAAGTAAATTTGTTGCTTACTTATTGTAAATATTCTAAACATATAATGGTAAATGTTATAAGCGAAATTAACATAAAAAAAAATAAAGTTCAATTTGAGGAGATTGAATTCAGCTCATTGATCACTAACTTTTAGTTTAATATAATGTTTAAATTTTGTAATATTTCTGAAATATTTTCACCAGTTTTTCACCTAAGAATTATTATGATATATTCGATTCCTCCAAACATTTTTAAAAATATTTCAAGATAATAGATATTACTAGAGTTCGATGTAATTTTTAAAATTAACTTTGCAGTAAAATTTGTAATAATTCGTTAATTTTTACAAGAATATGAGGTTTTATATTACGATAATATATATATGTAAGGACGAAAGCTTGTTGTACTTTAATTCCAATATCTTTCATACATATTTTTCTTTCAATTTTAATAAAATAAATTCACAGTATTTTATTTTAACCAATCAACTGTAATGGTGAGTATTAATAGCAAATAACTATTGAATATATATAGATTTCATTTTCAAATCTTGAAATGATTCTTAGGAATTTTTTCATTTGTTTCTCACGTTTTCGTATAATCTAATACAATTTTCTTTCTCAAGCAAAGGAGTAAAATTCAACATGAGATATTTAAAAATCAATTTGATTGAAATACATTATATCTTCTAAGTATTTTAGAACAACATCCATAAATCCATCTCAAAATAATAAAATAATAATTATATGAGTGATGATAATCTCGTACCAAACACCTGGCGGATAAATCTAAATAAATAAAAGAGGTAGAGACTAAACAAAAATAATTAAATTATTTTTAACCATATAATTGTGGCTCAGCAAGAATCAAGGTAAAAGTGCTAAAGAAATTAATATAATAAAACGTAACAAAAATTGATGCGCACGATGCTTTCAACGTTATTTGACCAACATAAAAACTTTGAGAATTAAACTTGCGTACGCACTTGTTAATAATAACTGAATGTAAATACGACAGCAGACCACTTTTTTTATATATGAAAAATTGTAGGTAGCATACAAGCATTAAAATCTTTTTATCAGAGTCCACAGCACACGGAAATGTTCAACATAAATGTAAAACAGCGTATGATGAGTAAAATGTTTTAGATTACAATCCAGTTGAAGAATTAAATTAAGCCGTATTCAGAACGTTTTCAAAAAAAAAACAAAGATGCATTGTCCGGACACTTTCCAGAAAAAAGAAATTGATTTTATCATGTGCGTGCGTTTTTTTTTGTTCGGAAACGTTTGAAAAACGCACTTTTCGTGTTTTATCTCGTATTGCAATTATCAGCAGTAATGGCAGCACACGGAGACTAGTAAGTAGCCAGCTAAGATTTTAACTGATTATTTATATAATATCGATTAATAATATTAATAGACATATAGCATAAATCAATTAAGTTCATTAATAAAGTCTTCTTGAAAAAGTATAAAAGTAATAATTAGTCGTTTATTGACTTTAAAATACTAATAAGATTTGAAAAAATAAATGTGCTATCAATATAATAAAATGAATTATGGTAATAATTCTTATGTTAAATATGTAAAACTGCTACGATAAAATAAACTTAAGTATATTATAATAAAAAAATTCTCAAACCTTAGTAATTATATGAGAACACGTACTACTTGTATCTTGACTCGTTCAGTCGATTAGGAATATGGATTTTACTAACCGACATTTTTATGAGACATCCAATATTGAAATCAGTATTAGTCTATAACTCAGTTATTGGATGGGGATATCGGTATATTTCTATTCCCCCATCCAATGACGTGATTGAGCGAGCAGATTTAAGTTCATAATGAACATGTATAATACTTAAGAATTATTTAAAGTACAGTTTATCTGTTATTGAGAACTAGTTTCACATACAGTAGTAGTAAAGTCGTTTATTGCATATTGAAATTTGAAATTCGCTAAAAAAAAATTTTAAATACGAGTCCCTGTAAAAAATCTGATCCGTGTTTTATCTTTCCATGTTTTTTCCGTGAATGTATCATTTTCACGGAATTTTTACGGAAGACACGGAGAAATAATGGAAATATTCGGATAAAAATTTTCGACACTTGATGAACGTAAATGATTTATGCTTAAGATTATTTGATCCTTACAAATTTGTTAACATTTAGAGATATATTTGGTAATGATGTAACAGTTACATAATTTTGTATAGCTCTTTAATGAACATTGTATAAAATATTCAGTTTAATATAACAGTCAATTTCTAATGAGTAATAACGCGTTAAAAAATATTCATAAATTATTTAATTACATTTCACTCAGAAATGATATATAAAATATATAATAGTCTAATGCGGCACTACGTGCCGTGCCGCTATTGGATCATTTACGTAACATTCTACCCATAAATCAGTTAAACAACTGTAGTAGTAATTACAATTATGGAAAGAATCCTTCATGTTCCGTTATATTCCGTCCTTTTAATTAAATTTTTTTTTTTGATGTCTATCTTGTATATCCTTGAAAATTACTAATAATTAGTAGTTATTAGTATTACTTTTTTAACTATCTATCCAGTTTGTTTACAATAACTGTGTTTTTTCTTATAGTTAGTTACATTACGAACGAAACATTGATCAATAATATTCATTTATACGGTAGAAACCAATTATTAATCAATTTAAACATAAAAACATTTTTTTTTACTAACAAAAAAGGTCGAATGATACTGTGCCATGCACTGCGCCAGCGTAACGCAGGAATAATTCTAAATTTGGCCTCATTGTAAAATATCATACAACAATAAATTGTATAAAAATATATCAAAAAATGGTGTAGATCAATAAATAACTCTATCTCTTTTCTAAACGTAACGATGTCTATAGAATATTGGCAAGAAAATATTAATGACGACTATGAAAGATTATTTGAAACTGATGAAGGATACGACGTTATTATTTATGCCGGTGAAAATGAAAATATTAAAGAATTTCATGCACATTCAATTATTTTACGTACCAGATCACAATATTTTTGTACAGCATTTTCTAACGTATGGGAAAAGAAAAAGGATGGGAAATTTATTTTAGAAAAACCAAATATTTCTCCTAAAATTTTTAAAATTATTTTAAGGTAATAAAATATAAATAAACTGAATGTATCCATATGTGGTAATTTTTATTAATATTCTTCATTAAAATAATTTTTTAGGTTTATTTATTGTGGAAAAATTGATTTCACAAAATTAGAAGGGCTTGAATTATTAAAATTATCTATGGCAGCTGATGAACTTAACATTCAATCTTTAATCCCTCGTGTCGAGGAATATTTAATTAAACATCAATTTAAATTTTTACAACAAAATCCTACAGGAATTATTGAAACAATTTATCAAAATGAATCTTTTACGAATCTATTAGATTTTTGTCTTGACGAAATCTGTAAAGAGCCTGAAATATTATTTAATTCTGAAAATTTCACTAGCTTAAAAGCACCTATAATGGAATTGCTTTTAAAACGGGATGATTTGTACTTAAATGAAATTGAAATATGGGATAGCTTATTGAAATGGGCTTTTGCACAAAATTCTACTATTCCGAAAGATATCACTAAATGGAACAAAGAGGGAGTTACAATTATGAAAAGAACTCTTCATAGATATATTCCTTTAATTAGATTTTATCATATATCTTCAGAAGATTTTCATGATAAAGTATATCCTTTAAAAAAATTATTACCAAAAGAATTAATTAATAATCTTTTTACATTTTATTTAGTACCAAATAGAAAAATAAATATTGACATGCAACCTCCTAGGAGATGGTATGATTCAGTTATTGTTGATTTTCAACATTTTGCATTATTTGCTAGTTGGATTGATAAGAAAAATGGTAATTATTTAAGAAATATCCCCTACAATTTCAATTTATTATATCGTTCTAGTAGGGATGGTAATACTGTTGCAAAATTTCATGAAAAAACTGATAATAAAGGAGCCAATATTGTTGTTGTAAAGATTAAAAATACAAATCAAATAATCGGAGGATATAATCCATTGGATTGGGGTGGTAATAGCCATTTTAAAACTACAGCTGATAGTTTTATATTTTTATTTAAAGATTACAAAAATACTGATACAGGGAAGATTGGAAGAGTGATTAAAAAGGAAGATGCTATATACTGTTATAGTAATTATGGTCCGACTTTTGGTTCAAGTCTTAATAGTGGTAGTTGTGATTTAGAGCTACGTTCAAGTGGCAACAGATGGAGTTCATCTCCAAATTCTTATCCTGATATTGATATCCCAAGAAACTATGAGATTGAAAATTATGAAGTATTTCAAGTTGTTAAAAAGAATTAAAAAAGAAAGTCGTTTGTATTCTTCTTGTACTATATAGTTTTATAGGTTAAATTTATATTAACCATTTTTCAATAAATTATATTTTTTTAACTTAAGCCTTAATTTATAAATTTTATAGTTTAATACAATATATAACATTTATCAATTGTTATCGTCCTATCAGTAAAATTATCAACCATCTGTTTGCTGAAAATAACCAGTTTTGTAAATATTAATATAATTCTCTCAATTTCCAACTTCACTCTAATCCTGGCCATCCCTATAAAATTTTTATCCGTTATTCTGTAAAAACTCCGCAAAATGAAGCCTTTCACGGATCCATTCACGGAAAATGAAAATAATTCGATAAATTCCGTGAAAAAAAGATGGAATATAAAAAAAACGGATCGACTTTTTTGCAGGGTATCATGAGGATATACTGCATGCTTTTTCAAAGTTACGATATACATGGCTTTGCGTAGTCAAGTTAGAATAAACCTAATATCGTTTCCAAACATTATCGCTTGAGATTCAATACTATAAAAGTCTAAATTGATTATTTAGTAGAAATTGTCGTTTTTTATTCCAAATAGAAAAAATTTTCTATAATAAATACATAAAAATTAATAACAATATTAAATATTATTATAAAATAAAATAGTCACTCTTTTTATTTCACAAAATTGCCCGAAGTGTAACGAAGAATTCCATGCAAAGGTCACACAAAAATGTCTAAAACGCTCTTTTTATTTCACAAAATTGTCCACAGTGTAACGAAAGAACTATACACAGTACTTCTATGCATAGGTCGCACAAAAATGTCTGTCCGCCCGACCGGCACACTTAATAACGGTTTCCTAGTTATGTATAATACATTTTTAAAAAAATTTAATTATCAAAATTTGTTGTAACTTGTATCAAATTTAAAATTTTATTAAACCTAAGAAATTAAAATAATAATTATTACTTATAGTTAATCAAAAGAAATAAAGTTTGGAGCGAATATTATGTTAAAGTTACTGTAAATAATAGTAGTAGAAGAGAATAATAAATGATTTGTAATATTTTTTTTATGCCCTCTTATCCATTATTTACCTTTCCTTTCTTTCTCTCCTTTTTTTCTCTCTCGCCCTTTCCGTTTCTTGCACCCCTAAAAAAAGTACTAATAAATTATATTAAATTATCCTTCTTCGATCACAAAATAAAAAAACTTCTGGTTATAAATAAAAAAGAAATTGTCATTATGATAAATAATTAAATATTAAATAAATACTAATGTACTTTTTCTCCAAATTTCAGATTTGGTCATTGTAAAAATTTCTAAACGTTTAATTTATTATCATTTAGTTAATTGTAAAATAAAATAAGTAATAATAATAACTTAAATTTTACATTAACCCCTCTATCAAATAATCCAGTATATAAATATCCCTTAATTAAATCCTTTATAACAAACTCGAAATACTTCATAATTTTCAACTTCATAATTTCCTGGGATGCCTATATCAGGATAAGCATGCGGTTCTGAGCTCCATTTACCATTTGAACGTACCATTATATCACAACTAACATTATTATTTACGCCAAATACTGGTCCACAATTATTATGACCATATATAGCATATTTCTTATTGGTTACTCTTCCAATTTTGCCTGTTTCAATATTATTGTAATCTTCAAATGAAAATATAAAACTATCAGCCGTAGCTTTCCAAAGAGCAAATCCACTCCAATCGAATGGTGAATATCCTCCAATCACTTGATTTGTATTTTTAATCTTTGCAACAACAATACTGGCTCCTAAATTATCTGTTTTCTCATGAAATGTTTTAATTGTATCACCATCTCTACTAGCACGATACAGTAAATTAAAACTATAAGGAATTTTTCTTGAATAAACATTACTAGTCTTATCTATCCAACTAGCAAATAATGCAAAATGCCGAAATTCGATGATAACTGAATCATACTTTGATCGTCTGGGAAGATGTTTATCAATATTTGTTTTTTCATTTGGAAATTTAAAAAGGTTATCAATTAAATCTTTTGGTAATAATTCTTTTAAAGGATATACTTTATCATAAAGATCCTTCAAAGATATATGATAAAATCTAATTAAAGGAATATATCCATTAAGAGTCCTTTCCATAATCATAACTTCTTCATTATTCCATTTAGTAATATCTTTTGGAATATTAGGATACTGTGCAAAAATCCATCTCATCAAGTTATCCCATATGTCAACTTCTTCTAAATGTAAATCATCTCTTTTTAAAAGAAATTCCAATAAATGTGGTTGTATAGTAATAAATTTATCTGAATTAACAAAATTTTCACATATTTTATTAAAAAAAAAGTCTACCAAACTTGTAAAAGATTCATTTTGATAAATTGTTTCAAGAATTCTCAAGGGATTTTGATGTAAAAATTCATATTGATATTTAATTAAATGTTTTTCAACACGAGGAATTAAATATTGAATATTTAGTTCATCTACTGCCATTAAGAGTCTAAATAAATCTGGTCCTTCTAATATTGTTAAATCAATTTTTCCACAATAAATAAATCTAAAATTTTTTTAAAAAAAATTACATTATTAAAATTATAAATTATTTTATTATTCTTTATATATTTTTTTACCTTAAGATAACTTTTAAAACATTTGGAAAAACATTTGGTTTTTCTAAAATAAATTTTCCATCCTTTTTCTTTGCCCATTCATTAGAGAGTGCTGCATGAAAATATTGTGACCTGATACGTAAAATAATTGAATGCGCATGTAATTCTTCCATATTTTCATTTTCACCAGCATAAATAATAACATCATAACCTTCATCATTTTCAAATAATTTATCATAAGCATCAATAACTTCTTGCCAACAATCTACAGACATCTCATCGATAAGTTACGAAAGGAAAGTAAGGAAAGTAAAATTTAGTATGCGCTGATCGACAATTAATTTTGCATTTTTCAATGGCGTACATTGTTGTACAATATTTATAATGAAAAGGGCTTACCTGTGCAACTATCAAAAAAAGTATGGCGTGACATAACAAGTATGGCGTGACATAATTCGGATTAGTTTTTTTTTTTATTACATAACTCCGAAATATTACCTTTTACGGTATCGCATGCAAAAAATTTTCATAGATATTCTAAAATTAAAAAATATTTTTATAAATAATATCTACAAAAACTTGAAATACTTCATGATTTTCAATTTCATAATTTATTGGAAGAGCCCACATGATAACTACATGAACGCAGCTCTATATTATAACTATCACTATTACTACCTGCGCCAAAAACTTGTCCATAACAAAATACAGCACGTTCTGTATTAATCACGGTAATCTTTAAATGAAAATATAAAACTGTCAGTCGCAAATTTAAACCAATATCCATTCCAATAAAATGATTATTTCCTCTAATTATTTGATTTGTATTCTTAATCTTTGCAATTATAACATTGGCCTTTTTATCTGCTTTCTCACGAAATTGTATTATAAACTTTACTAGCACGAATAGTAAGTAAATTAAAATTTAATTTAGGGAAGCTTTATTATAATTTTTCTTACCAAACAAACTGCTCAAATATTGCAAAATGTTGAAATTTAGCAATAACTGAATCATACTTTGCCTCTATATAAAATCTACGAGGTCGCTCGTTCGTCGAATTGTCATTACGTGAAATTTAAGGAGAGTAGTAATTAAATCTTTTGGTATTTTATTTAAAGGAAATGCCTTATTCATCCGAAGAATCTATCTAAAGGAATATATCCACTAAAAGTTCTTAATTGTCGTTTCATCTCTGCTCCATGTCACTTGAGATAATAGGATATTGCGTAAAAGTCCTATTAAAATATTTCATACGTCAATTTCTTCGAAATTTCAATAAAAGAATTTTCACAGGATTTTTTGTAAAAGCTCGTATTCAATGCGAGGATCCAGCTACTACCATTAAAAGTCTAAATATTTCAGGTCCTTCGTTGAATCCATTTTTTTCACAATAGGTAAACCCAAATATTATTTTATAATAAAATTACTGTATACATATGCACATTTACAGAAACGAATATTTTTTATTATCTTAAAATTATTTTTACAAATGTTTGGGGAAACGTCAAATAATCTTTTTCATACCTTCTTGACCACAATCTACAGTAATCGGCATGTGAAAGTATGTTGCTGATCAACAATTAATTATGATGCCGTACAGACGTAACAGTACATTATTTATTATTAGCTAGAACTATTATTTATTATTAGAACCAATTAAAAAATGGCAAGATTTTCATCAAATTTTCTTTCCGGAGAATTATTAATCATTAATTAATTTAGGAGAGTACGTGAAGATGATATAAGGGGGTGCACGTGGAGGTGACGAACAGGGTTAGCTTAATTTATTACTTAGGAGGATAGTAGGAAGTATATTTAATGGTTAATATTTTTCCCTTGAATATATTACTTTAAATATTCAAAAATAAAAAATAAAAATATTCATTATATTAAATTATATAAAAATAAATAAATAAATAAATTTATTTTTTTTTTGGTAACAGATTACATCGAGGAATATAAGAAAAATACATAACATCTGATCTGATACACTACTGAAATAATTTATTAATATTGAACTTTCACCGAAAGTGGACCACCATAAATTAAGTCTCTAGGGTAGAAATATGAAAGTTGTGGAAATTCAAAATGAGAAAGAAAAGATAAAGAAATATCAAAGTTCAAGTGAGAAAACTAGGTGCCACTGTATAAAAAGTTGGAACTAATGGAACGAATCCATGCAAGATCATTAGAGTGTCGAAAGCGGTTGTCTTTAAAAGGAGTTGAATAAATATATTCACTATAATAATTATAACCATGTGATTGTCGCGAGGGACGATTAGAGTTGTGCGAATGTTTGCTTATGCAGGTTGAGAAGGATTCGAAAAATCTATTTATTTAGTTATATTTATATAAATAAAAGTAAACAAATCGTTGCTTGTTGTCACCTGATCACCAATGTTGAGATGCAGCAACATTGATCAGGAGGGAAGGGAGGGAGGGAAGGAAGGGAAGGGGAGGGGGAAAGGAAAGAAAAGGAAGGGAAGGAAAACGAATAGAGAAGGGAAAGGAAGGGGAAATGGGAAATGGGAATGGGAATGGGAAAAAGCGAGCGAGGGGATAAGGGAAAGGGAAAGAGAGAAGAGTGAGGAAAATCAGGGAATACACAAATATAAAATATACCACCCACCAATATGTTTGAGACAATAAGTTTTATCCTTCAGTAGGGAACGCGTCGAAAGATATTTGTCCTCCTTTTATTTCAGATAAGTTAATTAATTAATAGATAATTTATAACCGATTTTTTTTTCATTTGATTGTATACCAATTGAAAATTTTAGTTCGGATATTATGAATTTGTCATATATACTTTAGTATCAGAAAAAAAAAAGAAGAAAATATAAAAGAGAAATACGTATATTTATATAATTTTTTTGTATATTTTACTTCATAATAAATAAATATCATTGAATCTCAAATAATTTACTCGAGCTAGATTATTTACTTAATACGGACCTTATATAAATTTAACCACTTGCAACACAGTTAGTTATATTATGTATCGCAAAGAGTTAGTATAACTAAAAATGTTATAAAAAGACTCGTTCTTTCTCTGCTCCTCTACTCCTTTTTTCCTCGCAGTTCTTTACTAATTTTTTATGATCCCATCCCTAAACTACAATATTTTCAATATTCCTTATACCTTCATAATTCTGTTTCTCCCTGCCGGTCAACATAATAATCCTCTTCTATTTTTCTATAGCAATTTTTTCATGCTTGTTCTACCATGACCTTTTTAATATTTGAAGAATACTATCCGCTCGAAAGTAGCGAGAAGATGACGGGAAAGGTTTTGGTGAACTCAAGGCGCAGTTAGGCGCAGTAAATTAACGATAATTTTGGCCAGCACTATACCAACTACCTTCATATGATTTACACGATTTGACAAGGTGGAAACTAAGTAAACCGAGGTAAGAGTTCTGTTCCTTACTTATATCACGCGCGTTATCTCAAGATACCAAATCTTATAATTTAACTGTTAATGACATTAAATTATAATTGATGGTTGACGCTTAAATCTTCTCTTTCATGGCAGGACCATGGTAAGGATTCTCATGCGCATACTTATTGGAGGTTGGAGGAAGTATGTCAAATGGGATTGTTAGTATCTGATTGGCGGTTCCTGAAAAGGGTGACGTTAATTCCTTGCGGGTTTCTTGATAAACTATTTATGACCTTTTGTTAATTGATCGTTACAGCGACACGTGTTACTCATACATCGGTGCTCTTTGATTTTATCAGGCGGCGGCAACTGGTGAAGTCTAGATATCAACCATTAAATCTTATTAGACGTTTCTACATCACATTGATACTATCACGACAGAATCAATAGCAAAATTGTTAGATTGTTTTGATAAAAATAATAATAATAATAATTATTTTTCATTCAATTTACAATGCTTCCATTGAAGCTCTCCAAAATGAAATGATTCGACGTTATGAAATTGTCCGAAGAATTTGGCCAGTTGAAACTGATCAAACCGATCATATGGGAGCTCTTCTCCTGAAAGCTCTTCATCTGATGCATCTCTTGAAGAAATTAGATCCCATTTTAAGCAAGTTTTGATTCGATTAGGACTCTATAGATTATGTGTTTGAAACAGTTAGACGCGAAATTCGTAAACTTAAACTTTTATTATGGCGGAGGGAATTCAAAATTTAGCGGTTTGAGAAACTAGAGGGTATATAGGACTATTACGTAATTTTTCGGTCGTACGTAGTCGTATGAATTGACCGTATTTGATTAGTCAGTGTGACTTCAGAAATTAATGTAGCGCAGTGGCGCTATGTGATGTAAGATACATCGTACTATTTTCTCCGAGGAGGAAGGGCAAAAAAAAAAAAAAAATTACAAATAATAAGGCTATAGGCATATATGTATTTTATACATATTTCTATATATAAAAATGTATAAGTATGAGGGATTTTGTCTGTAAATCGGTGAAAATTGATCGTGAAATGGTGATTGTCCGTTGATCAAAATCCCATCCCGCTACTCCGTCCACATTATTCTCAACATTCATTATCTCGACATTCATTATCCCGATACATTATTTTTTACAATAAAACAATATTTGCAAAGTGTTAAAAAAATCATTACATATTAGTAAAAATATTTTAATCATAATGCATAATAAAGATAAAAACATTTATTTCTGCTAAAATTATTAAACATTAAAAAAATTAAAAATTTTTAAACTTTTGCCATATATTTTAAAAATTATTACATATTTATTACAATTATATTACGTCTATAAAAAAATTAATAAGAAAAAAAAATAGCGTGTCAAGATAGTAAGTGACAGGGTAATGAATATCGGGTTACGGGATTTTGAAGTTCGGGATTATGATTTGTCAGGATTGTGAGCGTCGGCTGATTGTCGGGATTTCTAGTAAATCAGTCGGTGAGAACGATTTTTGGTGAAATAACGTGTCCTATTTAAAAGAGTGGTATAAAAAAGAATACTCTACTATATGATATAAAATTTAAAGAAAAAATATATGATAACTTCGAATTTTACTTTTACAAAGATAGTAACTTGTAAACAGATAAATAGATTAACATTGTGAAAATGGAATTATATATTAATTTATTTTTACGAAAGAATAAATATATTTTTGTTTTTCGACAAAACTTATGTGAATTAAAAAATAAATGAAGAATTGCTCTAAAATTAATCATTCAAAATTTAATAATTCGTATGCTTTAAATGAAATCCAAATTTGAAAATATATATACGCAATATTAACGTCCGATTTGAAATTGAAGACAAACTCAAAAATATTATATTTTTTCACTAGTCTATACATTAATCAT